AAATATAATGATGTACTCAGCTGCCAGTGATGAGTCTCGATTTAATCTCTCAGTTAAAATATAAGTAACTTGATATTTAGAAAAACTAAATAATCTATTATATTTATTGTGGACTTGATTGCAACGCGGAGGCTCTGCTTAGTATTTTTAGTAAACATTTGTTCTCTACTATTAATTATTTTTAAACATATATGATCGTGATTGATCGTGATCTAGCCGTCGAGCATGCGCAAGCATGTAAATATGGTAGTAATGCACAGCAATCCATAGCAAACACAACACAACACGTGCAGTTTTATTATCATTCAATTTATATGGAAATATAAATAAAATACGATCAATATATTAACTACAATGGCTAATACAAGGGTGAATAGTAGTGCACCTCAAGTGCAAATAAAATTTCTGACTAAACAAGAACAGTTAGTAGTGTTTTTAAGTATTTTCTATAAGCTAATTTATTTGGTTAATTTACTACATGTATCTACATTTTTAATATGGAAACAATTATGGAATGAACGATGAATGAAGATTATGTATCTGAACTTTAGGTATGCTGTTCCTGATTTTCCATTATCGGTGCATACATCAATTGTACCCAACGAATTGAATACCCTCGTGAATGAACTTTTGAAGGGTATTACATGATTTAGTTGTGAGAGCATTCACTTTAATAATCTGCCTGGAAAGTATCTGACCTTTTGCTATAGTGTTAAGAAATATTGTACATGGTTAAGAGGATGGACTCTGAGTGGTACAATAAGGCAGGAATAAGGATTTAAGCCATTTAATTCTATATCTTTATTTTCCAGAGAATTAAAACAAAATCCATTTTAAATATGTAATTTGAGATGCAGTCTAGGTTTCTCGCTGTGTAGTATCACTTCTAGTAGTGTAAATCATTTCCTTTTGAGAAGATCTTTCATTTTGGGAGTTGACTAGAAGTCGCAATAAGCATCCAGTCTGTACAGAGATTGACGAAATTGCAAAATACTGTATTTCACCAGAAATTGTTGCACAATTTGTACGTTCCATCATTATAAAATACGCGGCTCATAAGATTTGATATTTATGAAACTGCGTGAATGCAAGGATCTGTCACATAGCTAAGCAACTTATTACAGCAGCGCCTTTAATAAAAACGTGTATTACCTATCCTAACAACACTTAGATATGAAGTATAAGCAAACGTCGGATACTTTCTGAACAGACCACGTATAATCTATTCAGAAAATAATTTCCATTCATTTTAGAATCAACTGATATAACCAGTGACATAGAATTTGATTTCCTGGTGTGCTCGCAATTTTTACGATCTTCTTTGGCTGAGCACATAGCCGAGAAGAATGTCTCTACTGAGGAAGTGATAATTGTTGAATATGTTGAAAAATATCCACCACCAGAACCTCAGGATTGTCTTATACACGACGACTGGGTATCTGCTGTTGCTGTTTGCGAAAAATGGTCTCTATCTCATTTATTAAAATACTTAAAAGTGATTGTATTCTAATTAAAGAATATTTTAATAGGATCCTAACTGGCTGTTACGATAATACATTGCATATATGGACGTCCAGAGGGAAACACCAACTTGTAATTCCTGGTCATACTTCACCTGTTAAAGCAGTGGCATGGATATCGTTAACTAACGATGCAGCTAGTTTTGTTAGGTATTATCCACGATGTTTCCAGAATTACGTTAGATGTTATTCATGATCTCTTGCAATACACAGTGCATCCCAGGATCAAACAGCTATAATATGGGACTGGAATATAGCAGAGAACTCTGTAGACTGTATTCACGTGTGCAGAGGACACGAACGTGGACTTGAAGCTATTAGTGTTAATTTGGATAAGTCAATGATGGCAACTGGAGCATGGGATACAATGCTTAAAATTTGGTCCACAGGTATTTGTTAGATGTCTGCGAGGACCCGAAAATGTCAGGTCGTGTAGAGACGAGAATCTTTCTCCGGGTAGGGACTGATTCTTGAACATGGAACGATGTCTTCCAGACTCGTCCGGATTATTACATAGATATTTTCGAGTTTTCGTACACTTCTAGTATGTATGTAAAATGAAAGGACAGAAAATATTCCATTCTTTTTTGTGTCTACAGCTAATTATGAAGAAAATGAAGATGGTGAGTCCATTTCGAAGAGATTAAAGTCAGAACATGGCAAAACGAGGGTAAATAAAATGAATAATCATAAAGGTATATCTGTCTGGATAAATTTGAACGAAGTCAGGGCATCTGTTATTTTATTGAAGGTCCCGAAAAGAACGATGAAGGGTCATAAAGAAGCTATTAGCGGCGTAGTATGGTCGGACATAACAGAAATTATAACGTCCTCGTGGGATCATACGATTAAAATATGGGATTCGGAATTAGGCGGAATCAAAAATGAATTGGCTGGAAATAAAAGTTTCTTCGATCTTGATTACTCTCCATTAAACCGCACCGTTATAACAGCCTCAGCAGACAGACATGTTAGACTATACGATCCGAGATCCACAGGTTTTGATTAGAATTGTTTTCGAGAAATTCTAATCATCATACATGAAATTAAGTAAAATTTCTCCGTTTAGAAGGGGTACTGGTCAAATCTACGTTCACTTCTCACACCCAGTGGGTGCAGTCTGTAAGATGGTCGACAGTGAACGAAAGTCTTTTTATTTCTGGAGCTTATGACAACGATATGAAGCTCTGGGATACCAGAAGGTTTGATCATTTGTTTGCAGCCAGATACAGACCATATACATGTAATTTAGAAAAGATCATTGACCATCAATTATCTGTTTCTTTTTACAGTCCTAAGGCACCATTGTTCGACCTGTCTGGTCATGAGGATAAAGTGTTATGTTGCAACTGGTCGAATCCCAAATTCATGGTTTCCGGTGGTGCGGATAACACCGTTAGGATATTCAAATCGCAACACGTCACTTGTTAATACAACCATTTAGTGTAACAAAAAATTGAACTGAACGTAAGTTAGTTCGAATAAGCTTTTTGATATTTATTGTATTTTAAATCGTCTAAACGAATTTGACATCGTTCAAAAACATGCCATACCACGAAACAAACAAACTCTTGTGTTCAAATAAATAGAAATCGAATAAAAAATGTAAAACCATTGTACTTCCGCACAAGTGAATACAAGAAAGAAATGAAAAAATCGTTACATGCCCAAGAAATGGCTCGTAGCATCAAATAAAAATTCGTACTCTTTTTATTTAAAGAAATTCGTTTTGCGACGTCTTCTTTTTAATTGTACCCTCGTATTTTACATCATTATAAAACCGCCACTTAATTGACAAAAGAGAAGATGCAGTAATTGTTTCCATACATTGCCAGCACCTCGGTTCAGAACTTTTTTCTTTACGTTTTCTTTCAATTTCGAATTATTTTTACGCATAACTTGAGATTTACTCGAAAGGAGTACAAACAGCATCAACATGTAGAAATAAACTCTGTTCAGTTATATTCCCAAATGGACGCACGTTAATTCTCCGTATAGTCTTGTAAATCTCGCAAAAGAACAGTTTTACCATCGATGAATGTAGAGAGGCGGACGCTGGTTTTATAATTACACAATTAGTTAGGATAATGTGGGGGGCTTATCGTTTTAATACTACTTACAAAGGAGAAACATTGTTCAGTCTATTGCATATGCTCCACACTACGCATAGTAAATATAATTTCGTTTCAACGAAAAATGTATCGTATTTCTTTTTTTCATTAAGCTCTCTTTCAGTCCTAAAGGATACCAAAAAATGGTCTCAGGGTTTACCATTTCCGATGTTGAAGAAGGCATATACAATAGTTGCTAGTTGATTAGAGACAGAAGGCATATCTTTTCTTCAGTGTTGGAAAGCGTGTAAATACAGTCACTGATTTTGTACGAGAGTAAGTTTATTTTACAGGCTTTACATTTCGTTTGTTCGTTCCGTAAAGATATTCGTTCACACCTTCAATCCAAGAAATTAAGAAGAGAAAACGAATAATTAAATAAAACCTGTGTAACGAAATGCAATGAGTAAGACAAATACTTGAAACCACATGCGAGAAGAAAGAATCGTAATTAGAATTTGTGGGGATTCACTCTCTCATTCTCATTTTCACACTCATATATCCTGGCTAAGTATAATAAGCGAAAACTGAGGAAAGGAAAAAAGAAAAAAAGTGATTCGAATAAATCCCCAAAACAGATCGTTTATTGATCAAAAATAAGGGACGATAATAATTAAGAATTTGATTTTCACTTTGAATATACCAAACCATACTTATAAGTAACTCTAAAAACTGTTCGGTGCACGCTCCCCATACAAAGTGTAAGAAGTGTGTGACGTTTCAGAGCGTGCACACGCAGTGTGCAATTTACAGTAACAGTGTGTTTCTGCAGTCTGTGTCGTGTAATAGGCAGATGTTTCTTTTTTTTGAAGTACGCATTATTAGATTATGCATACAACCTACACACCACATACTCATCTCTCGCACTTGTCGTTCTCTCTCTCTCTTGCGCTCTTCCTCTCGTTCACTTTATGCTTTTTTGTTTTGTTCACTATTTATATCTCACGTTCTCTTCCTCTCATTCTCATTCGTGCTTCGTCTCTCTCTCCCTTTTTGTTTACTGTTTGTTTTTCCTCTCCTTTTTTTCGTATTTTTTTCTTTTTTTTAGAAGACCCTATCTATCACCCCCACATTATCTCACACAAAGACTAGCGTTTTTAAACGATCCAAAATAAACTAAGGGCACTTTTAGTGGCGTATGCCCTGTGTTCTTATTCGAGCTTCATGAAAAATCTAAGTCTGACCGTTGTTTTAAACTTTGTTGCTGTTACTTTTTTCATCATATCATCATCATCGTCATTATCATCCTCATTTTTTTTTGTTGCAGCACCTATCGACTTCTAAGAGTCCCTATTTTTTCTTAACTACCTATGACACACTTGCCTTAATCTAAAAAATTTCATTACACACTATGCCTCGCCATCTTAAAAGTATCCAAACAACCGAAGCATGTTCGGCTTTTTCTCCTCTATATACCTTCTCTTCTTCTTTCAGCCTTTAATCATCGTTTGCCTAACTTTAATGCCTCGACGTAATTTCTTCCCCCTTTTCACAGTTTCTGTTACACCCTTCTTCTTTCTGAACCTGAATGAAGTTCCCATTTTCACGTGTATTGGTCGCACACCGCGTAACAATTAATTGCATCGTGAAGAGAAGAAACAAAACAAAAATTAAGCAGTAACGGTAATTACTCCCGGAGAACTACACGCGATCAGCGTGTCGTCTCGAAGTTTTATTCGAAGAGTACGATGATGGCAGCAAGAATGAAATTGGGAAGCAGGAAGTAAAACTTGCGGAAAAACGGATTAGGAAGGAGGTACAAGAAGAGAGTCGAAGTTTCGAAAAAGGAGCACAAGAAAGCGGAAAAAAATATGTTCATCTCTCTATCTTTCTCTCTCTCTCTCTCTCTCTCTCTTTTATAGTTAAAGAACCTATCTCGCTTAACAATGTAAAACAATGACTTAAAACCTCGGTGAAAAACCTAAGGACTGTACAATTTAAAGTAACGATGACGCGCGTCACTTATTCCGGGCATCATCATGATCATCTCCACCTTCATTATTATCATCGTCGTTATCAAAATTCAACTCGCACTCGCAATTATCTTATTAATTCTTTCGCTTAAGCCGACGTTCGACTAACATTACGTTACTTTTTTTGTTTCGTTACTTAAAAACACCCTACGTTTTTTTCCTTTTTATTCTCTCATCTTTCTACATCATAAGCCTACGGACTACTAATTGTGATCTAATCTAAAAAGAGGCTACGCTAAAGATTCTAGAGAAAGCTTGTTTTTTTTTCGTTTTACGGAAAGCGGCGTTGCTTGGAAACTGTTACGTTCCAAAGAAGAGATTGGTTTTCATTTATTTATTTCTCGTAAATCACGCCCGGTCAGCCCAAGCACCCGACCCGCGGTGCGCAGCAAGCAGTCCTTACTATTTATATTACAGTAGATAATATGTTGTAGAATAATATATATTTATCATTATTTTAATATGAATAGCCAGTCAGTCTTGACGGGTGCGGAGTGCATAGGCTGAACGGTGCCTCGCCTATAATGAGTTTTCTTACTTTTTTTTAATCTTTTTTTTCCAAGGAGAGGCAGTTGTATATAATTATATATATTTATATATATATCCTAACTATCATCTAATTATCTAACTATAGACTTACTTATTAATTACTTAATCGATCTTTTCCTATCCAAAATGGTGCCTAGCCTATGTATTCATAGTCAACACTAACTACGCAGTGTCCTCCTTTTCCTTGTTTACCTCGCATTGATTTATACAGTAGGTTTTACGACGCATTCGTACTCGGTTTTTTCTCACTTTCACTCCCCGTTTCTTCCTCCACCTCGTATCCCATGCGTCATTCAATTCTACCCTAATATTTCGTTCAACTCTCCTCGCACACGTTCTTCTTTAATTATTATCGTACGCACCTTGCATTCGCCTTCTACCTTTTCGCATTTTTCTTTCGCTCGTTCATCCCTTGCATTCCAATTTTCTTCACTCTCTCTCTCCTTAACTCCTTTCTGCCAGTGCGGCCTCCGTATTTTCTTTACGCCTCTTCCCTTTCATTTATCGGCTGAACCGTCGTTCTTCCGTTTCGTCCAGCATTAGAAAAATGCTGCTCTTTTTTGTTTTGGTCGTCACAATAATTAATTAGTTATTTAGTACAAGTCTATTAGTAAAATTCTTCAAAATTCACTATTTTTTTAATCACATGTGATTTTTGTTGTCAGTCGTGGTGACACTATCGCTTGTGCAAACAATTTACATGCTCGCAAATAGGTTCTCCCTTCCGCCTCTTTCTTTCGTTCTCTCGTTCTCTCTCCCTCTCTTTTTTTATTCTTATTCCCTTTTAATCTCCTTTAATGCGTGGACTCAAATCGAGTAATAATCGGTCTCTTAAAAAATAGCTCATACCACTTTTTTCATCTTTTATCTCCTGTCATCAAATCGTGATGTACCAAAATAAACTAAATATATTATTTACTTCAAGTCTCAACAGTGTAAAAATCTTTCATACTTTAGATGACGTCAATAATAGTAATCGTTAATTATAATAATACAGCATATTATTGTAATATTATAATAATAGCTACGATCGCCTCTAACTCTATCTAACTACCTGCCCGCCGCTTCGAGCCCGGAGCTCGCAATATTTGGTAGAAAGCTTTCTGCTAAATGTTCTTCGACTCGATCTCTAAGTCAGACAAACGTGAAAACTGTGTCGGATGTAAAAAAACGAGCTTAGAGGAACGCAGGAGAGGAGGCTGGTTTTTCGTTTCTCTCAACTCCGAGATACCTTAGCCCGTATCCCGTAGATAGAAGTTCCGTGTTTTTCTCTTTTTGTTTCCTCGCGTTCGATCCTCTCGCCCAACGTTCTTCTCCAGTCCCACTATCTCCCTTCATTTTCATTTTGTAACACGATTTTATTCTCGTTCGATCGATATAATAAATTAATTTACACTCTATCTATCGTATCCCGCTGTAACAAGCCTACTCTGTCTCTCTCTCTCTCGCTCTCTTTCATCTTTTTTCTCTGGCGGTTGTGGCTCTCGGTTTACGATGATCCGCCGTTTGATTTCTGATTTATTTTTTGTTTTGTTCCTAGACTCTGCATGGACCGTATAATAAGATGTTCTCGGGGCCCGTCAATCCCGTTAGTGGCAACTATACACATACAAAATCTATTCGAAACCGTAACCAAAAAACGAACGCAGTGACATTTAACTGGCTACAACGTAAAAACAATTATATTCTCTTAACTAGAAGATGAAAATTTGGCTCGAGTTTCGCATTTACATACCGACGTAAAAATATATTATAATATTTTTCCAGCATATCCCTGTCTAAGCGGATCTGTCTGAAAAGGCACAATTCTAAAAAAAATATCTGTATTCACTGTACAATTAAAACTGATATCGATTCGTAGTAACTGTACTCATAAATATAAATCTTCTAAAAAGTACTATGTTTCCTTTCCATCTCGTTACAATAATTACACATATATCCTGAAGTTTTTTTTCCTTTTAGAAATAAAGCTTCATCTCTCTTTCTCGCTCTCTCCCTCTCTCTCTCTTAAAATCTTCGCTTCTTTTTTTCTCTTGTCCATAAAATATATTCGTCCGTGATTATTATTTTTATTTTCTTTTAAGAGAACGCGAAAAACTGTACTTTGTAAAAGTAGATAAAAATCTCCGCGTGGCAAATACATGCATACGACATATGTGCCTGGGTTGGAATGTCTGAACGCAAACCAGAAGAAAACGAAAAAGCAAATAATGTGTGATGAGAGTGCAAGTAGATGGATGGGGGTGGTTGGTGTGCGCTGTCGAGGAAGAGATATTTTTTTCGTTCCCAGGAGAAAAGAAACATTGATCCGCGGGGGGAGGGGGAGGGGGCCTCTTCTCTTCGCAGCCCAGCCACCGGCCAGCCAGCTGGCACAAAAAGTCCGGTTCATCATACTGATATCACGATCTAACTGAATCCGAATGTGTAATTTCTTTTTCTTTATCGACTCTAGCGTTTGGAAGTTCCTCTGTATATTATTATTATTATTTATTTCTTGGGAAGAAATCTTCTTTGTATATTTCTGAGCAGCGTTTCTTTTATAGTTTACAGGTTTGTTTTTTTTTTATTCTTTGTTAAAATATTTTATTCACACTCTCAAGCATTCAGCTCCGACTTATCGTCTCTCTCTTCTTCTTAGTAAATGTAATACCTAAAGTTAATCCTGGAAGCCTATCAGCTTGACACTAAACTGTCTGTCGCAGAAATATCAGTTTTCTTTTACGTGTGTTTTTTTGTCACTGTCGTAAATGATGTGTTGGCCTTACAGCGTATGGAGCCGTGCCAGTGCCCCGAACAATTTAGATGCGACACGAGCACTCGTAACCCCGCTCTTTTTTATGACAACATTCATTCTCTAAATCGTTGGAAAATATTAACTACTTTCACCTATTTATCTGATGGATAAAATGTATAAAAGATGGCTGGCAAGTCAATTATCATGAGGAAGAATCTTATCTGACTTTATGTAATGTATTTAGTCTCATCTATTCTTCATTAATATAATCCTTCGTATCAACAGGTGGCTCTCTTAACTTACGTAACCCTCGGTGCAATCGTATCTGAAACAAGAAACAAACTGCTTAATATTATTCTCATATGCAAGCACATGAAAGAATAGACCTGTTCTTCTGTCGATCTCATATAAAATAAAGAAAACATGTTTTGGAGAAGTTTCTGTCTTCCTTTCTCACATGCCAATAAAAAGAAAATTGCCTGTGAAATCTACCATTGAACTTGGTCTATTCTCACATATCTATGTTTGTATCTAAATAAGAAACACAAAATAAAGAACACTATAGATATAAAAAATATTGTGTAAGTACCTAAAAACCATAGCCTACTTGGGCTGCTGAGCTTGGTATTGTTGGTAGGAGTCATCAGGAGACGCCGCATTACTCGTTTGTTCAGAATCACCCAATGGCATGGTATGAATAATGCTAGGAGGATAAGTGTAAGGATAGGGATGCGGGCTTGCTGCTATGTACTGGAAAAAGAATTATTTTTATTAGATATGAAAATGTGTGTAAAATGAAAGAAAGCGAGTGGTACTTACGGAACCAGTGCCAAGATGTAATGTAGACATTTGTGTTGTTAGCTGAGGAATCATACTGTATTGCGGATTACTAGGATCAGCTGATGGCATCATCTGTAACACACAGTTTACGTTAAATTAACTTGAATGCTCTCACCGTAATACAGTAGTACCTCCGGTATATGAACATTATGTGAATGATCGGTTATATGAACACTTGTTATCTGAACATTCTGTTATATGAACAGTATGTTTTTTATTACAATACTGTCCGATTTTCAGAAAATATATTTTAAATAGATATTTCTTTTATCACATAAATATTGTAACAAGCACTCATCTTTAGTATTGTGAATATTTTTCAGTATTATTTATATTAACTGCTAATACAATTTTTTTTATAAATACGTAAAGTTCACTATCTAGATATGAGAACGTAATAAAATGAATACTATTTGAAATAAAAATAGTAGAGAAGCAAAAGCAACAAAAAATTTGTACAAAAACTCACGTCGACCTGTTGCATGTGTGGTGGGGCAGGCTGCACCAAGTAAGGAGTCACCCAAGGCGTTCCGGGTACACCATACCCAGGTAAAGCTTGCCCGTAATGACGACTATACTGTGTTAAAGTAGCTGCAGGCAGCATGTGAGTGGTTGCTACCCCATTTTGTCCAACACCACTTGTGTCGTAATTCAAAGTCATGTTCTGCAAAATTAAGTAAAATAATCAATAATTGCGTATTTAACAAAAAAAGTTTTCATCATTCATCGATCAGAATAATTACCTCTCCGGTTTCTCTCCATATTGTACTCTTGTATAATGATTTCTTCTTATTACCGCCATCGGCAAACTTCACTAGCAGAGGATCTTTAGCCCCCTGCAATGCTTTCCCATTGAACATCTGAATAATCTGTTCACATTTTTCTTTGGATTCCATTCTAAAACATTCGTTTATAAGATATTAACATTAATTTATTTCAATACATAAACATCCCAATTTCTTCTTCAATTCAATGAGTAGAAATTGTGACGTGAATAGGAATTGGGCGAATTGCACTTTAGTGCACTATTCAGAAAAATTGTGGCACCACGATAATTCTTTTGAGCTATGTACTCGTAAATAGAATAAAAAAATGCCAACCTTGCAAATCCAACACCTTTGCTTTGTCCAGCAGTATCACGTAATATACGCGTTGAAATGACTTGCCCGTACTGAGCGAGTAAACCCTCAACATCATTCTCTTTGAAATTCAGCGGCAGGTTTGCAATATACAAATTGGTGGGGTCTTGCTCCTGTTGCTGAGAAGAGAATAAAAATACTATGCAACTTATTGTAATACACTCCTGGACATGTAGATATGTATATATAAATTTTAAAAAGCTTCATATCTATCATTTTAACATTCACAACCAGGGTACATTTTAATCCGTATGTTTTTTTATGAGTATCATCAGAAATGAATGCACAGACGAAATCACTACAAGTGTCGTATCAAAAATTCAATCATCTTTTACACACCTTCTTCATTATTATATGTACTATTACGTACACACATTCGCATGGAATGTTAAAATGATAATCCAAAATTAAACTTCATATCAGTGCAACGATGCAAGAAATGTAAAGAAAATTTTTATGTTAAAAATAAATCTGTTACGTATAACTAATCGATCTTTCTCTGTAATTAAAAATAAAAGAAATTGTATAAATCTACTATCAGATACTACTAATGAGATCATTAAACTATAACAATTATTTTAATCTAATATTGAATGAACGAATACTAAAAATAATTTATATCACGAAACTAAAAAATAAATATTTGAAGATACTGAAAGATTGTCATGCTTCATGGCATTACTTTACCACATTGTGGTGGTTCTCCAAATTTGCTTTATGGATGCTTAAAACTAACGTCGACTTTAAATACATTTTGCATTTATGTGTAAAGCATGCTCACACGCATTCGAATTTTCATAATTTCTCACTAAAATATATCAATTACATTCAAACTTGAATAATGCATATTACCTAAGAATCATGAAGCAAGTAATGAACCCGTACAAAAATCAGTAGTGAATATCGCCTGTGCAAACATTGCTTTCTTCTTTTTTAAAAAACTTTTCAACGACTACTTATATTTTTCATAGACTAGAATCATCTTTTAAATTTTAATTCAGCTTCCTCTCTCTATTAATTTATAAAGATTCGATCTTAAAATTAGCAATTACATATGCGTCACTGCAAGTACTGCAAGCTAACTAATTTGTTTATAATTAAACGATACTATAGAGGATAAACCATTCAAAGCAGTAATAGAAATTCAATCACATATGACACATCGTTGGAGACAAGCATGACAAAAAGCACAGGCATGTTCACATATATACAGTTATATAATATATCATGAAATAGAAATGAAAATGAGTCAAATTATTCTCGCTGGAATATTGACGGAAATAATATATATTATGTCTCAGTCAGAGAAAAATGTAAGGCACATACATATACATGTGTTCATGCTCAAGTTTTCCTCGATTACGATTCTCACGTGTAGAGAGAACGAAAAGAAAAATGTTGTATGTAAACTTGAAATTTCTTTAGATTTATGCACCCTCAAGCATATTTTGAGATCCACCATTTCTCTCAAAAAATCAATCAATTCTACAGTTACTTGAATATACTTATACTTTACGACAATTTACTTCAATCTTGCGAATGCATTAAAACAAAAAATAAATAATGAAAACATTATGATATAAGCTAAGCTTATGGCATTATTATATGTATATATATATATATAAAATATATAATATAATATATACGTCTTCTTAATGTAATATATACGCATACAAGCACACGTTAGAATCCGTGAGCATGTATGCACGATAAAACCATAAATATACTTCAATAAATCTGATTTTAAATTGATCAAGTGCGAATGTGTATAAAGGATTTTGAGAATAATTCGTGTCGCGCTTCTATGAAACGTACAATCAAATAAAAATTAAAAAAAAAAGAGAGAAATATTATAGATACCGTAAAATAAATTTTTCCTATAATCTAAGAAACAATAATGAATTCCCAAATACACATCCTATACTTGGTTGGTGTGCTGGTTAAACTTTACTTATTAATCAAGCTAAGTGTGTCAATGAGAGCCAACCAACACCCCGGGAATATAAAATAGCACCTGATCGTTCGCATAGCATCACTAACTGATAAGTAAGTACCATGTACCCTGGATAATAATTAACGCCGGGTACATTGTTTAGTTGTATCATATCACATGCGACTGACATCATCACAGCTGCTGATTGCACCCCGTGGTTAAACCGCGGCCAGATTAGAAGAACCATTCCAACGTTAGTCGTTCTTTTAGCGATAAGGCGAGGAGCCGATAATTTCCTTTCGATAGTATAATATGCATACGTAAAACAAGATTTAATGAATCGCTTGAATTAAACGGATCGTTTAAATTAAGCGACAACGCGTACCTTAATATTTACACATAATAGATCGCGAAATGTTTCCGTTTATTGCCACGCTTGAAAGCAACTTGGAATGTAGTGTTCAAAAAAACCGTTTTTCAATTCTGTTTAGTAAGATAATCAGCTACCGAATTGATCTCTTACATAAGACACAGACACAATTAATAATTTGCTAGAGGCTTGAATTAGTGCTTGAAATAAATGCAGTTCTTGAGACACGAATTATAAGTATGTCGACATAGCAGTATCAGCGATTTGTGACCGAGGTATAGCAACAAGCATCGATAGTTTTGATAGGTACGTAAGATAGAATGATAGATAGAACTGGTGAAAACTAGAGATTTGTAGACAAGTGAGATAGGTTCTAACGGGAATAGTACTGTTTCTTTTTACCTAAAAATTCTGCATTATTGCCTGCTGCTATATTTTCACTGATAATATACAGTACAGTATTTTACTAAAATAATTTTATCAATGAAAATATAATCTGCACATTAATACCACCCCTCTAGTAGCAATATTACTTAAGGAAACTGTGCGTGATTTTTTAAGTCCCTTCTCACTTGTCAGTTTCACATATTTTCAATTTACTTGTACGTATTGTATCAGTTTTTTTCTCATAAAACCTGTTGAAGTCCGTTATCACTATACTAAACATACTGTTTTACTACGTAAGGCAACGGTTATAAACAGTTATACTAAACACTGTTCTCAAGATACAAATTCTATGCATTTCTAGAGGGGCTGAGAGCAGAGCAATGATGCCAAGACGGCGATACTATGCTCATCTTTCAGACGATTTACTAAACTTATATAATGCATCGAATCTTCCCTTATTCTTAAACTGTTGATATTTTTCGAAAAAATGTTGGGATGATATAAAAATAATTGTGATTTATGCACTGGTGAACAAAATTATAGGACACCCCATGTAATTGTCGTTATCAAACGAGCAAATAGAAATTTTACAATTGAAAGCAGAAAGAAAACATTTGAAACACTTACACCTAGGCAAATTTTAGCTGAATGTCATTTAAATGTTTTAGTAAGAACAAGGAAAAGAATGATTCGGCAGGCAAAACACCTAAGAAAACAAATTTTCTATTAACCACCGTTGACGGCAGTTCACAAACAATCCTCTTTTAGAGTTTGCTCTTAATCATCATTAGCCGGAAAAAAAGTGGTGGAAAATTCTTGTAATGTCTTATAATTTTGTTCACCAGTGTAATTGTAGTATAATCAAATTTCATTTTAAATAATAAAATGATGTTCGTATTGTATAAGTGTCTAATAATGAGGCAGCGGATTTTTGTGCAAAGTGAAATTTTTATGGTATCAATTAGAGAAATGATATATGAATAGAGTTACTTATCAGGACTCCATCATTGCAATATGCACTTAGCATTTCAGATTCACATATTTGTATGCTTTATATGCATATTTTATATTTTATGGATATTGAATTTTCTTATAAATGCATAAAATCCGCAGTCTATTAATGAAAATCTTTAGTGACATTGTTAGTATTGTATCTTGAAATTTTTAAAGCTATACCAAACTAAAGATATGAAAGCCATCACTGAAAGATGAGCATGGTACCTACTGTGATTAGAAATTCAGTACTTTCTTATCGAACATTGTAAGATGAAAATGCATGAAAGTACTGTACTGTATATGTATTTATCACAGCAGTACAGGAATAAGAATGTATCTCTTTTCAAATTAATTGCATTTGATAGTTATATATCAATAGGGAAGGTAATAGGATCATAATACTCGAAGTAATAGCAAATGGATTATAGATGGATTTAAAAAGGCGGGTGATAGATCATCGAAAAGAAGATAGAAAATCTTGAAATGAGAAAAAAGTTGGAAGGACGGAGCGATAGAAGGAAACTGATAAAAAAGAAAGAAAAGAAAGAGGGGTTTACTGTTACTCTGGTATTACTGTACTTGCATGCACAACCAACGTACACTGGGCAGTCTAGGGAGCAACCAGATACCCACTTTCGCCATCTGCGCTTGGATGCCCTTGGCGACCAGTGCTTTCACAGCACCCTCTGCCGCCACTGGTGACTCAAAGTCTACAAATCCATAACCTGTAACAGAAGCCACAACACCGATAAATCAACGATTTCCATCTGGAATTATAAATAAAAAGAAAAATAATATATTACATTTAATTACCTTTACACTTATTCGTATTTTTATCCAAGATTGCCTTTGTAGAAGTAATAGTTCCATATCTGCAAAAACACAGTGTATTAGAATCCCACATAATTCCACTCTACAGTTCTTTACTTAAACAGTATGTTCGGTTGATACAAAAACATGTATTCCTGTTCATTAAAAAAATTGAGGACACAAGTATACAAATGAGATAATTCAGATATAATATTTCTCTCAATGGAAACAGTCTTCCCAATGTTCTAAATCTCTTTCAAGAAGTTAGAAGAGGACTACGATATTTCACGCAGGATAAGAAATAATTATAATGCTGAATTACGTCAAAGCAGGCAATTATGTGATGTTCAGACTACGGATTTTTATAAAACTTTTGGGGTATCAACTTAACAACAACTTATATTTAGTAATATCCTTTAATCTTTCAAACATCACATCTTGCTATTGATACTTTATGCACTTTTCTTCACCATATGTACTTTTTACGTTTTTTACATACCTAAGTTTGTTACAAATGTGTAAAATCCGCAGTCTGGTGACGGACTAAATGAAATTAAGTACACGAATCACTTACTGAGAACACATATTAACGAGGTCCTTGTCAGTTGTATTTTGGTTGAGGCCACGGATATACAAATTTGTTTTTGACAGTTGTTCTGCTTGTTGTCCTTGTATAGCATTATTGCTAAGACTTGTGCTCATTGTCCCGCTGCGACTGCCGGTAGCACTGCTGGAACTACTGTTAGTATTAGCTGGCGAGGAGGCTGTAGGCACCCGTTGTCCACCATACTGCAACGTATTTAAACATATCTGTTAATCCGATGAAATATTCAATTTCGTTATTATTTTTCAATTAACACACGACGCGCAATAAGTGTAAAAATACTGTCGGTTCCAACGGGTATAAATACTCTCGTACGACAGCATGCAAATTTTTGTATTTCATTCAGAACAAGAAGTCTTCAACATTTTAACAGTGCCGGTAAAGGAATGTCAATAATGAAACTATGGAAGACCGTACGCATTACTAAATGTGTGTGATACGTACGTATTTTTAGAAGATCGATGGTAGAAATACACTATAATTTATGATAAAACGGAATCTTTAATGAAAGAGGGAGAGATAAATAGACTGAACGATAAGAAGAATCGCGCATCGTTCCGACGAAAACCGTATGCCGCGTTGTCATGGCCCCACCCGGTTTAAGAAAGGATTAACCCTATCGCTGCGCAAAGATTCACTTTCGTGAGATCTGCGCGCGTGCCTTTTTGACAGCCTAGTGCTAAATTCCAAAACTTCCACAAAATATCATAAAAATCGTGAAAAAATTCGGCGTTTTATAATCTCTTGTGTACAATACGAAAACTGAGTTAATTAATATAGGATTTCATCACTTTTGTAGAAGTAATAGTTCCACATTTGCAAAAACATAGTGTATTAATTTCGCGATAAAACGTGATTAGATTGCTTAAATTCTATCGAAACAGGCAATTATATAATGGCCAACTAAATGAAATTAAATACACGAATCATTTCCTGAGAACACAAGATTGAATAATATACAGCTGAATGGACACAAAGAATTGATCCTATTGTTAACTTTTATTTAATCTTATACATCAGTGAACAGTAATTAATTAAACAATGAAATAAAAAATTATTGATCTACATGTTTAAAAAGAATCGTTCCGTTCATTCCGTTCATGTTCAATTTTCCTCGCCTAAAGAGATTCGGAATTCCTTCTATAAAAGATCGTCTGTATGCACACACAACGTAATTTAACTTGTTAACCTTTACGATGCGACATTCATTCATGTACAAACACCGTTGCATCTATTGAACATTGACTAGTGAATAGCAACGAGGAATTCCTACCAATTTTAATAACATCATACCTGCACGTTATTAGACAGAAGAATGCCAAGCAAAATGTGCGATTTTTACGGAGGGCCAGTATTGAACACCGAAGACGCTACCGGCTCTGAGCCAATAAAATAGTACGAGTGGTGGTCAAGAACAGAAAAGAGACTTACCGACGCGTGTTGTGCGTAGGTGGCGGTGGCATAAGGATTCGCCGTAGGCGGTAGTTGTTGTGCTCCGACGGGCATCTGGCCGGCCGCAGCTGCAGCCGCCGCGCTTGGATACCGCGTGTACGGCGGATAAGCAGCCGCCGCAGCGGCCGCAGCCGCAGCCGCGTGAGAGGGCGGCGCTGCACCCCAAGCCGCGGCACCGCTCGCACGATACTGCACCGGGTTCCCGCCTCGTGGCCCGCCGCCGGCATTTCCCTTCAGTCCGTGGCCACCTCCACCGCCGCCACCGCCTCCGCCTCCACCGCCGCCGCCGCTTGTTGGACCAACGCCAACGCCACCCGTAGCGCCGCCACCACCACCTCCGCCGCCGCCACCGCCACCGCCGCTCCCGGCGCCACCGGCGTTACCATTGTTAGCACCCACGTACGCCGGTCTCGGGCCGTTCGTACCCTGAAATGCAAAGTCAACCGTTAACCGATAATCGTCATCGACAGATGAATTTCTGTCATTTGATGTCAATATTTGGTACATCATAGTCGGAGCCGCCCCTAGATATACCGGGGTGCTCCTGACAAAAATATATGCATATCGGTGCCTCACCCTGCATATATCTTAAAAATATTTAATTAAAAACAGGTTCCAAAGGACGATTTTGGATGCTAGGCACTTTTCTCTAATTGAGAGTACAATGTGTTATACTTCCAAGTTTATTTATAAAACATGTTAATACAGTGGAATATTTTTAAGAACTCATCTGCATACGTATGAAAACATTTGTATCGCCCCAAAAATAGAGAATGCCACAAGCATTTGAGCCGGAGTATACACATCGACAATGATAATTATTTTCAGTTAAGATAAAATCGAAACTTCCTCTGAAACTTTCTTCGTTATAAGCATGGGCAATTTTCTGTTTCAAAGTAAAGATTATTCCACTATATTCCACTAACGGCAAACAATTTCTTGTGGTAACATGTGTCTACAGTCAGTAGAAGAGCCACAGGAACGCGCTGCACCGCCGTATTACGCCATTCTAATTAGAGTCATTTGCACAGCAAATTCGCGTCAGTTAATGTCTTTAGTAAACACAGGGACTCTTGTAAGTTCGCGTACCAGCAGTAAACGCAGTCGGTTGGTTTGTTGCCAAATAAATTTATTCACAAATAAGTCTTAATTGTAAGATACGAAACATAAGGGAAGGAGGACTCGAAAGTCGTTCCAGAGTTCTCTCCAGTTAAAATCAGAGAATCTCAAATTCTGTATTTACCGAAACAATTCTTTTTACCTCCATTACTCTACTATCTTGACTTCAATAAAATGAACAGCTAATATGTTCTTAATAAAACATTTTAAGGATGAAAAATGGATTAGTAATATAATTCGGAGACTTCGTTTACATACGATGGAACAATATTACTCGAGAGATTCAGCGTTTATCGAGCTCTATTTCCTTTTTTTTTTCTACAAACTTATCTCATAAGATATATTCACCTAGAAACAGATTATAATACGCATATACATGATAATTGCAAAAGTATCGCTTATCTGCAAAGCTTGACCTCTGCATAATGGTACAGTCAAATATTAATAGTACAGAAATCTCATTACAGGCGCAATCGTAAAAGCGTTTCTCATATTCGACGCTTACTGCGTAAATTCGAAATAGTATTACGATTACTTATGCAACAATAAGATAACAACTCTTTCAACAAGTTACAATCGTAATTCTTATTTTATTATATTTGATTGATATAATGTCATTTCTAATTTTCACTTTTATACTATCATCACATATTTCAGGATATTCCCAATATTCTGACGAAAAATGTTTCGAAATCTCGATGATGAGTAGACTGCGGAATTTATGTAATTATAAGAGAATTGAATGTACAGAAGTGATAAATGCCGCGTGTAATGTATGAG